CTTTTGGTGTTGCTCGCCCATTTCCCCTTTTACTGCATCCCCACTCCTTCTTCTCTACCTTCTTTCTCCCCTTCTCTTTCTTCCCTACTTCCCTCTTCTTCCTCTCCTCTCCTCTTCTCTTTCACCACTCTCTCCTCCAACCTTCCTACTTCCTTCTCCCCTCCTTTACTCTTTTCTCTCTCCTCTCCTTTCTCCCTTCTCTTTCTCCTACTTCCCTCTTCTTCCTCTCCTCTCCTCTTCTCTTTCACCACTCTCTCCTCCAACCTTCCTACTTCCTTCTCCCCTCCTTTACTCTTTTCTCTCTCCTCTCCTTTCTTTCCTTTCATCCCTCTTCAGATACAATTAGCGAGCACGAGTAGCGAGCACGTGGTGTTTGGAAGCGACAGGGCAAGAAGTGAGCGAGCAAGCGCTGTTGGCCCCCTGGGGATGCCCTGGAGATGGTGAGGGACTGGCCCCTGCCACCCTGGCCCCGGCCATGCTCACCCAGTCTGCTGTGACCAGTGCAGCCACGCCACCCAGTGGGCCATGCCCCCCCTGAGGGCACCACAATGCTGATGCAGCCCTGGCACTTTGCGATAAATAAGTGGGTTTTGGATTGCAGTTTGGGCACTCGGTCTCTAAAAGGTTCGCCATCACTGTTCTAGCCCACTTGCTTTGTCCATTGAATTCAGGGGAATAGGATCTTAATATCAGATAATCTTTACACAATTCCACCTGCACACATGCAGTTAGCACACATTACTAGCAAATGAATGCACCTCTCACACACACTTGTGAGAAGTATCACAACATTATAAAATGTAATTGATGTGTTTTGATTAATCATGTGGTGGATGAATCTTGACACTCCTCTCAGTTCTTCTTTTCTTCTCTTCATGGCTGTCCTGTCCTGTCCTGTCCCTGTCCTGTCCAGTCCTGTTGTCTCTTGAATGAGGTATACATGTGTGTACCGCAATTGCAAATGCACACATGACCAATACTGGTGTGTTTTTCTATGATGTCTCATGTTATTTTCTGTGCTCTACTGCAGTTGTAACCAAAAGAGATATCGTCTTTCTTTTGGATGGATCAGTCAACGTTGGAAATACCAACTTCCCATATGTCCGTGACTTTCTTGTGAACCTAGTTAATTCCCTTGATGTTGGAATTGATGATGTACGAATCGGCCTAGTGCAATTTAGCGAGAACCCCAAAACAGAATTCTTTTTAAACTCCTTCCTAACCAAGGCAGATGTCCTTTCTCGTCTGAGGCAGTTGAGACTGCAAGGGGGGTCAATTCTGAATTCAGGAGCTGCACTAGATTTTGTGCGTTCCAATCACTTCACTGAAACAGGTGGGAGCAGGAAAGATGAGAATGTCCCTCAAGTGCTAGTCTTCCTTGCGGCAGGGCCATCTGCTGATGCCTTCCAAGATGCCGCCAATGCCTTAGCTCGTGCGAGAGTGCTCACCTTTTGTGTTGGGGTTAGGAATGCCAAACTGGCAGAACTTCAGCAGATCGCATTTAATCCACAAATAGTATATTTTAAGGATGAATTCAGCTCTCTGCCAGCTTTACCACAGGAAATGATTAGTCCACTAACAACATATGTTAGTGGAGATGTGGAAGAAATTACGATCACATTAACAGGTAATTTGTTTTTTTCATATTACATTGACTTTTCTTTTATCATGCAGTTACATTTTGAGTGACATACTAATTTTATGAATATTGTTAATTATACCTTATTCTATCCGACATTTTATATCTTATATGTTATATTAACAACTAGAGGCAGTGTAATGGCTATGGTGCTGGGCCAGACTCTGCTCTGCCTTTAGATACAGATGGCACAGTGGATGACTTTGGGCCAGTCCCTGACTCTCAACCGTGGTCCAGGAAATTGAAAAACACCCACTGGCTCAGCATCATATAATTTTTAATATTGTTATTATACACATACACCCCCAAGTGTAAATGTCTGAAAGGGTGAGAGGGAGAATGGTTGGTGACTCTTTCCTGGCAGACAGAAGCGGGAAGGCCTAGCAGCAAGGGAATTGTCCAGTGGGAAGACAGAGAAAGAGAACAAGAGATTTCATATCATGCCCTTAAAAATAAGTATGGTCCCTTGCCCCAATGTGAAATATTAAGCAGCTCTTCCACTATCTGCAAAAGAGCCAAAAAAAAAAAACAATTATGCTTTTGCAGGAGAAAAGCTTTTGCAGAATGAATAGTAGAGCTCAGTATAGTAAAATGGGGATACCTTGTTTTCAAATGCAAACTTACCTATTGATGTCACTGTCAAGGGAATTATGTGCATATATGAATCAGTTCTTGGAAATACCAGTATCTGGAAACCTTACTCTTTAAAATACATTAGGAAAATATAGATATTGTAATATCCAGATGCCAACAAGGAAAGCAGTATATATCCTTTATTAAGGGTGACAAAATACATTTATAGGGAACAGGCATTTATTTTTCCTATTAATATAATACTGTGAGAAGAACCTTATTCCTTCTTCTGAAACTTAAGGTGATAAAGGCCCCAACTCTTTATATTATATCCTCCTTGATAAAAAGCTACCAGTCAAGGAGCTAATTTAAGCTTTGAAGAAGTGGTGGAATGACATGCGTTCCTATATCATGAGTCTCACCAGAAGTGTAATATCCATAATCCATTTAAAGAACCAAGAGTTCATTTCCTTTAATGTTGTAAATCATTCTATGATTCCACAGTTCCCTCTGATACCATCTCCATTTTTTCCTTCAATTGTAGAAGCTTGTACCAAAGATGTAATCAAAGATGCTAAAGAAATCACCTGAGTCAAATTATATTTCTTATTAGTCAAATGTGATTTGGATTTCTTGTCACTTATATATACAGAAATTCTGTAATAAAATAATACGTAATTAATATTTTTACCTCACTTCATTCCAGAAAACAAGATTGATATTTTATTTTTGATTGATGGCTCAATGAACGTGGCTGGCCAGTTTCCTGCTGTTCGAGAGTTTGTGTTCCAAATTATTTCTGACCTGACTGTGGGGCCAGATGCTGTACGAGTATCTGTAGCACAATTTAGTGACAATGTAAATGTGGAGTTCAACTTTGATGTCCCATCCAAGATAGAAATCCTTCAGAAAGTAAGAAAGATGAGGATGAAAGGAGGAAGGCTACTGAACATTGGAGCTGCACTAGATTATGCCATAAAAGACATCTTTGTGAGACATGCTGGGAGCAGGATTGAAGAAGGCGTGCCACAATTTCTGGTTCTTCTTGTGGCTGGGAGATCAGATGATATTGTGGATGAAAGTGCTGATACCCTGAAACAAACTGGTGTGATTACTTTTGTTATCCAAACCAAAACCTCTGATCCGGTTGAATTAGAAAAGATAGTTTATGCTCCTCAGTTCATTCTAAAGGCTGATACCCTTTCTCAAATTGGAGACATACAACCCGAAATAGTCAATCTGTTGAAAACCATAGAACTTAAACCTCAAGGTATATATCTTTATTTTTATTTCTCACTTGATGTTCATTATTTTTTTAAATATTCAGACTGATTGCTTGCTTGATTGGGGTTTTACCCCACTGCAATCAAACAAACTAGTAGTGATATGAAAGATCTGATTTCCTACAGCCTACTAAAACCAGTCAGAAGGTGACACATAGGCAATCAGATATAATTCTGAAACCATTGAAACACTTTGCCAAATTTGCAAATATATTCTTCAGCTGAAAACTGACAAACCATTGTGGGCTGAACCCAAATTGAAAACAAAGCTCAGGACTATTTTTCATGGTCAATAAATGGGAAAAGCTAGCTAGCTCTCTTTTTAGGAATTTTATTCTTGGAAATTTCCAGGGACATGTGTTGCTATAGGAATGCATTACCCATGAAACCCCTAATAATCCCACCTCGAAATAATAACAGAAGATTCAATCAGGGCTTCACAATATCCCAGAAAAAGCCCAGTTGTTGATAAGCGCAAGAACTGAAAACCAATGTGAATAAAGATTCTAGTGACTCCAGGAGTCTCGGAACTCTAGAAAAAGATTTTTCAGCCCTGAAACTTGTATCTAGTGTTAATTCATTTGTCAAGGCTGTGGAAATACAAAATCATTTGGGGGAAGGGAATTTCTCCCAAGGACTCTTTATAAATCTGCTGTTTTATACTTTGACCCTAGTAATGAAAAAGCAACATTCCTTAGGAGGTATTTCAGGGTAGAAATGTACCCGCTCTACCCTCCTTGTGATCCTGCTGCAGACGGTATCAGGGAAGCAGCAATCCAGAGCATAGTCCTTGGGAAGAAAAGAAAATTTGAAAATACAAAGAATCAGTTGTATTATGAAGGACACAATGTTATTTCAAGTCAAATTTCTTCAAGTTCAATAGCAGAAGATTCCTCCAAGAAACTACTAGATCTCATACTCTCTATCTGGCCTATCAGAAATTCTGAAATGAATATCTTTGGGTTTCATGTCATTGTTCTTTTATGATGCCTTTTCTTACATTGCTTTCCCAGTTTTTTTTAACTGTGTTAGTAGAACAAGCAAAGTTAATCCACTAAAAGATAAAAACAAACACATCTTAAGAAATGATTGATGTGAAGATGAATCTCATTTTTTCTTTCTGAATCTGTGAATCTGAAGCTCAGAAGAAGAATGATGTATTTCTAATAGATGGTTCAGATGGCTCCAGAAGTGGTTCCACATAATTTAATACTTTTGAACAAAGAATTGCTGATAGTCTGGAAATTGGTCCTGATAAAGTCCAGGTTGCTATGACCCAGCACAGTGATACTATCAACTTAGAGTTCCTTCTGGATGAATATTCTGTGACAAGATTGAGGTGATCAAGGTCATCCAGAGATTATTTCCTATGGGCTCTTCACTTAACATAGGGGCAGCCCTTAATTACCGTGTTCCTGAGCCCACCTGGAAGCAGGATACCTGAAGGTGTCCCATAGTTCTTGATTCTGCTGACAGCTAAAAAGATAAGAGATTATGTCAAAAAGGCTTCCTTATATCTGAAGATGGTCTTTTTAGCATTGGCATTGAAAATGCAGATGTCACTGAGTTGCAGACAAATTATTTTGTTGCTGAATTTGCTGTCTTTGTTTTTGGTATTAGTGAACTGAATACTTTACAGCAACTCATTTCAGAATCACCCAACTGACCAGAGCAGAAATAGAAGCTTTGGCCCCTCAGCTGATTTTTTCACCACTTGGTCTAGGTGAAAAGAAAGTTCTTATTATACTGTAATTTGCAACTTATAATAAACAAAGCAAACAATGAACATGGGCTGGCCAAAATTAATTAATTAAGTAATTAAATAGCACAATTAATTGCTACTACTTTTCAAAAAGCATCATTTTCACCAGCCTGGTCTTTTTAGAATTCTGGATGAGACAATCACATTTCTACAATCATATAAGTAGTAGAGCCAAAAGATATCTTTATGAACATTTCTTGAGATTTTATTTTTCTCAATCCCCCCACCTCCTGTTTCCATAAATAAGGCCAGTAAACATTTTTTTTCTTTTTTTTTTACACAACCACTATTTCTTCCCTTAATGCCTAGAAAGGATAACGATTCTGGTCATTATGAAAAATAACTGGCAGCCAGGTGTCCACCCAATTGCTGTTCTTCCAGATGCAGTGGGATAGAATGAAAAAAGAGAGTTGAAGGGAGGGAGGAAGAAAACAAGGAAATAATTTTACTGCTTCAATAGCCAGCAATGAACCCCATCCACAAAATATTGCATAACCTCTTCTGTTTCTGGAGAAATTTGCTGAAATGTTTTCCCACTATTTCCCTGCTTATAAACAGGGCAGAAAATTTTGAATAACCATTGCATAATCAAATCATTTGAATAATTAAATAATTCTAGGTTACATTCATAGGTCACATTTGTTTTTCTTTTCTAAATGTTTTTTCTACAGGGAGTAGGGCACACTTGCATGCATTTATAGATACAAAGATTATGCATATAACTTCTGTGTTACTATACTAGTTACCAATTGTTACCCCAACTTCCCATACATATTGACATAGAAAAATAGGCAAATATATTTTATAATGTTGATAGTCTTGTATGTATTGGATATGATAGTCTCCTGCATATAACAGTGGAATAGCTGATACTATGTGGTATTCCAGTTCAGAGGGATTCTAGGCTAAATGGAGTTGCACATCACCACAAACCATTATTTATTGTTCTAAATATAGATTAGAATTTCCAGATGTGTAAGATTCAAGCCATCACATAGATTTTAAAATTTTTTTTATTCAATCAGTATTTTTGTTTCTATGATACAAATGCTCTGGAAATGTCTTATATACATTCAATTCTAATAAACATTACATTACATGATTCAACAATTGCACAGCTTAGTAAAGCAAATAGTATATGGGAGAACACCTTATGTCTGCCCCTGAGAATTTTATGGAAGAAATGTGCAATAGAAAAAAATAAGTAAAATTTATAAATTTCATTTATCAATTTAATCATTTTCCAATCAAATTTTCAGAGTTTATTTTCTATAGCTTTTTAATAATATTTTGTACCATGTGGTTGTTAATATTAGCTAATTAATTCCTTTAACCATATTCAATTTATTTGCTGATATAATTTTGGACTGTTATCTAATATCATTTTTTGTTCTATAGCAGATACAAAGAAAGACGTTGTTTTCCTTATTGATGGCTCTCAGTTTGCAATTTCTGAGTTCCCTTCAATTTGTGAATTTATCGAACGGCTTGTAAACAATATGAATGTGGGTTCAGATGCTACTCGAGTAGCTGTAATTCAGTTCAGTGATAATCCTAAAGTTGAATTTTTACTGAATGAACATTCTACCAAGGAGGAGGTGCTGGCTGCCGTGAGAAGACTAAGTCCCAGAGGAGGGAGGCAAGTGAACCTTGGTTCTGCCCTAGAATATGTGTCAAAGAATATCTTTACAAGGCCTTCTGGGAGCCGCATAGAGGAAGGAGCACCTCAGTTTTTAATCCTTCTTTATTCCCACCGATCTCATGATGATACAGAGAACCCAGTACACCTGATCAAACAGATTGGTGTGGCTCCGCTTCCTATTGGAAAGAATGTGGATCCTGAGGAACTGATCAAAATAGCACTTGGTCCTGATTATATATTTCAAGTGTCAACTTACCAAGATCTACCTAGTCTGGAACAGAAAATATTAACCCCTCTTACAACATTAACTACCCAGCAGATACAAAAAATCATTACTGATACAAGTCGCCCTCCAGGTAAGGTGATTTGAAGGACTGTCTGCATAGAACATTGCCCCAACCTTTGCCTATCTTTCCTGCTTCCTTGTTGCGGTGACTAGCATAGAGGTGCATCATTCTTGGCATTTGGCAAGACAGAGATGTAGTTTTTCTCTAGGTCCAAACCAAGTTTTATTTCTGTATTGGGACCAGGATGACAACCATCTCATTTGGGAGCCAGGGTTGCCACATTTTCAGGAATCCAAAGCACCAAACAGAATTGTAAGAGGTGTTTTTGATTAAAAAAAACAGTGGAAGATAAAGTGTAAATTCTGCATATGACCACTGGTCCTTTTGGACCAGCCTTGCCTCTCTCAGCAGACAAGACTGTAAATTGTCTACTGCTGTTACCCCAGATTCTCGTCACTCAGACGGGGGCTAGCCAGGGGTTGAAGCTGCATGTCAAACATGCACTCCTTTCTGTGAGAAAAAAGCTGGTCTCATTCTGTTTTCCCATTCTCCCCACCCCTCATTGTAGACATTGATAGTGAAGCAAAGGACATCATCTTCCTTGTTGACAGCTCTGATGATGTCAGACCAGATGGACTTGCTCACATTCGTGATTTCATTTACCGGATTGTCCAGCAACTAGATATCCAACCAAGCAGAGTGAGAATTGCTGTTGTCCAGTTTAGCAATGAAGTGTTTCCAGAGTTCGACTTAAAAGCCTACCTGACCAAAGAGAGTGTGCTACAAGCCATACGGCGCTTAAGACACAAAGGCGGTTCTCCCCTGAATGTTGGGAAAGCTCTGGACCATGTCATGAAGACTCTCTTTATCAGATCAGCAGGGAGTAGGCGAGAAGACGGAGTCTCCCAGCATTTAGTCCTCTTGCTTGGAGGGAGATCCCAGGATGATATCAGCAGGCCTTCCATTCTGGTGCAGAACTCTGGGATTAGTACTCTAGGAGTTGGAACAAGACAAGTTGACAGTGCGGAATTGCAAAGGATCATCAGCAATCCCAAAACTGCATTTATTGTGAGAGATTTTACTGAGCTCCCAGCAATAGAAAAGCGTGTCCTTGCAGCAATTAAGACAGAACCAGAGCCAACTGAACTGCCTACTGATGTTATCACTGGTCAGTTGTTCATTTTAAAATAAAACTCTGAGGTGGGAATAATATTTAGGGGGATTTAAAGAAATAGGTGTATGAAAATGAAAATTGCTTTTTGTTTTCACTTCAATAATACCTATAACTGGAGTCAACACACTGCTTTGTATAAAATACAAAGAGTCCGGTGAGGAGAAGGGCGGGGTACAAATTAAATTATTATTATTATTATTATTATTATTATTATTATTATTATTATTATTATTATTATTATTATTATTATTATTACTTTATAAAATAAAATAGACAGTTTCCAACAGAGCTGTTGCAGGAAGTTAAAAATTTAACATTCAATTTTCTTTATAACATTCAAAGATCAATATAATTTTCACATTGTACTTTTCTGCATGTTTAATTAGAGGTTCAGTTTAGAACTTGATTTTGAGTAAACAAGATAGAATGGAACTGCTTACCTCTAATCAACAAATCTAAACTTATTGGACAATTCTGCCCTGCAGCCTAAACTGCTTATCTCCCATAGAGCTCCGGGTGACTCTCAAACCAACTTCAGAATTTCCAGTCTAAATTTCAGAGGGTTGGCAACCAGCCAGAATGTTCTCAGTCTAACTTTGGCTACTTATATGACCTGATTGGTCACACTACTGCTTCTGCCCCTTTTCATGCATATCAGAAAAGCAAGCCTTGGTGCTTGACAATTGGGTAGTTGAATCTACTTGTGCCTGCCTTTTCCTTTTATAGTTTTTCTTCTAATGAGTTCCTTTCCTTTTCTTTCCCAGATTTTTGCCCACACAAACATCTTCATCCCTGCTTCCCATATTATCTCCTCTGTCATCAACACAAAACACTTTCTTTTTCTTTTTCCCTTTTATGGTATCATTATACCCTCCTATGTTACCATAATTAAAGTAATAGCGAGTGAGTTGTTCTTTTGTTCCTATGCCCCTTCACTGGTCCATGCAAACTTTGTTAGCAAGGAAGAACTTCATACACATAAAGGAGGAACCTTTAAAATAAAACATGTTAAAAAAATTAAAGATGTTTTAAAAAGTAATAAAGAAAGGGGGAAGGGAATCTTTGTAGTACTATGGGCAGAGGATGGAAAAGGAAGCAAGCTTCACCTAGCCCAGTGATGGCGAACCTTTTAGAGACCGAGTGCCCAAAACCTGCCCCCTGCCCCCCCTCTGCCTGCCGCCCTGCCTGCTCTGCCCCCGCCCGCCCCCTGCCCCACCCACCCGCAGGGCCACGCACCGCGTCCATGGCCCACCGCAGCAGATCGCCCAGGCAGCCCTGCAGCACCATGGCAGCCACGCCCTCCGCCCACACCCCTCAGCATCATCTGCACACTAAGGGGTGTGAGGGCAGAGTCTTGTCCCTGTTGCCCAGCTATGTACTTGGCTGTGCTGCTCTGTGTGGGCCGTGCCCCGGGGGCGAGTCTCCTCCAGGGAGGCTGCTAGTGAAGAGGGGCCCATGGGGGGAGGCAGGGCTGGGGCAACGGCGCGTGTGCCCACAGAGAGGGCTCCGAGTGCCACCTCTGGCATGTGTGCCATAGGTTTGCCACCACTGCCCTAGCCTGAGCAGAAGCCAAAATGGTGGATGGGTCGGATGAAACATTAACTTTGAGAGGTGAGGATATTTCATTGACTGAATGGGCCACTGTTGGATCAACTGAAAGATTATAGAAAAAAGGTGCTGCAATTCAAGCTGAAATGGCTGCCCAGGGCAGTGACCAATCATTGGAGGGGAGGGGCCATGGTACTAGAATAGAATGATAGAATTTATATGCTCTGGAGAGCTTAAGGCTGCTTTGCTTGGGGGGAAAATAGCTTTGAATTGTATCTAGAAAACATAGGTAGAGCTAGATCTGCAATGGGCTAAGAAAGGGAAGCAGATGGCATCATCTGTTCCTGCAGTTAGAAAGAGATGAGTCACCTGGACTGATGATGAGCCAAGCAAAAAGTGGGGATCTGCACGTTGGCTATGCATTAATTTAACCCTATGTTATATTTCAGTTTCTTCTGCAGAAATTGAAATCCATGTACAATACTTGGGAAGGTGGACTGGGCTGTTTATTTAATTAAGATAGATGCAATAATTTTTAAGAAAGGAATTTTCAGAAGGTAAAACTATTAAAATGAAAACTGTTTCATTCATTTATTAACAATGCGACAACAGACAGACATTCCACTGGACAAGAATGGAAAGAAAATCACTATTTTCCCACAATTCCAAAACCTCCCCACTCTACTTTTCTTCCTTCTTCTTTCTATACCATCTGTACCATCTATGGATAACAAGCCACTCCTAGGCTTGCTTCCTCAGAACTGGACTTGATCTGTTGCCTTAAATGGAATGTGGATTTCAGATACTGAAGATTTGGGAAATTTATCCTTTATTTGTAAATTACTTGCCCTATTCTAAGTGGGGCAAGAGGCATTTCTCTACATTGTTCTTTTCCTTTTCTCTGCCAGATCTTGAACTGCTGTAGTTTATTACTTTCTCTGGATTTAATTTATGTACTTGATCTTCTTGACATAATGTCTTAAAAATGGGATTCAAGAAACTTTTGCACTATAGGAGGTTGCTATATTCTTACCTCCTGGTAATGCAGATAATTGTTCCCTTGAGAAACAGTTTTAACTTATTTACCAATAAGGTATCAAAAGCTGAGAGTGAGGAAAAATGCTATTCGCTGTGAAAGTGTTTATTCGCAAAATACATTATGATTTCTCTCAATAATAATGACTAGAGTTATATTTGATGAATTCTGTGAATACAGAAATCATGCAGATTTCTAGTCATACTGATTAAGGTAAAATGCCTTAAAATGAAATGTCTAATACCTGTTCTTTTTCTTTTAAATCTTTTAGTTGATAAAAAACAAGGTGATATTGTCTTCTTGCTGGATAGCTCTATTAATTTTGGGAGAGACAATTTCCCCAATGTTGTTGAATTTATACATGACTTAATTGATGCTATTTATGATGAAGGCGATTCCATTCGAGTTGGCTTAGTGCAATACAACTCTGATGTGAGTGATGAATTCTTTCTGAAGGATTTCTCTGACAAAGAACATATCTTAGAAGCAGTGAAGAAGATAGCCTACAAAGGAGGCAGAATTGCCAATACAGGAGCAGGTGTCAAGCATATCCAAGTAAAACATTTTGTGAAGGAAGCTGGCAGCAGGAAAGACCAGAATGTCCCTCAGATTGCTGTCATTGTAACAGCAGGAAAGCCAGAAGATGATGGAGAGGCAGCAGTCTTAGGGCTGTCTCAGTCGGGTGTCAAGGTCTTTGCAGTTGGTGTGAAAAACATTGACCTGAATGAAATTACAAAGCTCTCCAGTGACAGCACAACAGCCTTTAGGGCTTCAACGCCCCAGGTCCTCTCAGAGCTCAATGAGGCTGTTCTGGTGACCCTGAATGATGTCATGAGAGAACAATTATGTCGTGGTGTGGTGGAAGTCTCCAGAGGTAAAGAAAATCTTACTTCAATTTCTGTTTCTGGGTTGTTGTTTTTTTGCTTTATTTTAGATTTAGAGATTTACACAATACTGTATTGTAATTTCTATATGCAGCAATCCTTTGCTTTTGTTTCCCTTATTTTAATATTCAGTTTCATAATAGCAGGTATAGGTAGTATTTTTATTTTTATTTATTTATATTTAAGAACATTTATATGGCCATCCAACTTTGTGACTCCAGGTGGCTTACAAAGATAAAAACCCAATATAAAAAATAAAAAGCAATGACGCTCCACCTTCTAGCAACAACAATTAGTCAATCAAAAAGTGACTTGATGGGATCCCTTCCACTCTGAGTTTCGCAGGCTTGTTGTCAAAACCAGATCTTCAGGGCCTTGTGAAAGAGTGTCAAAATGGGGGCCAATCTTCTCTCTGTGGGATGATGTTTCACAGGGAGGGAACCAACACAGAGAAGGCCCTTCTTCTTGGTCCTTGACTTATGATCACAACTGAGTCCAAAATTTACGTTGCCAAGCAAGACAAGTTAAGTGAGTTTTGCCCCATTTTACAACCTTTCTTGCTACAGTTGTTAAATGAATCACTGCAGTTGTTAAGTTAGTAACAGGGTTGCTAACTGACTGTGGTTTCTTCATTGTCTTTGCTTGTCAGAAGGTCACAAAAGGCAATCATGTGACTTCAGGACACTGCAAATGTACATACATACATAATTTGGGTTGCCAAGAACCCAAATTTTGATCACATGACCCTGAGGATGCTGTAATGGTCGTAAATATGAAAAACAGCCATAAATATCTTTTTTTCAGTACCATTGTAACTTCCAACAGTCACTAAGCAAATTGTTGTAAATAAGGACTATTTCTATGTTCCGTACTCCAGTCTTGAGTGTAGCTATTCATTAACATTCAATGTTCTGTGGTAACACAAGTTTGGGAGAAAATAACACAAAATGGTCAGACTGTCCGGTTTTTCGTAAAAAGCTGATCATAATGTGATGTTTTGGATATTGGATCAAGTGATGTACTACTTGGATATTAATGAACAATGCAAACAGAGTAGCTGTTCTTGACTAGAAATCCAGAAATCACTTTTAGATACATCTTACTTCTACATAGTACAATTTAACAATTGCTTCTTTAGCTACTGTGCCACTTTCCCTTTACTTTATGTATGATAGATTTGCCATTTTTTTCTATTCTAGATTGCAATCTGGATGTTATATTTGGATTTGATGTCTCAGGTACTGTACAAGGGCAAAACATATTCAGTGTACAAAGAATGCTGGAATCAATAGTGGAAGATATTCTGAACAGGATCAGTCAAATGCAGAAAATTAGCTGCACTCCCAATCAGGCACCCACAGTGCGTGTGGCATTCCTGGCACAGACTCCCTCTGGAGTTGTAGAAGCCTTTGATTTCTCAGAGTATCAGCCTGAGTTGTTTGAAAAATTTCAGGCCTTGCGAAATGATGGACCATATGTGTTCACAGCAGACACTCTCAAATCTTACCAGGATAAATTTAAAACAGCTCCTACTGGAAGTACAAAGGTAAATGTCTACTCCATTTTCATTTTTGAAAAAGAAAATCCTTTTGCTGCATCAAAATATTATTCTATGGGTACACACACACCCAGGTGACTGCAGTGTTTGTGTATGTCCTGCTGGAATAGTGAAAGTAAAACAAATAGTTGTAATTATCTGCGTCACATAAAGAAAAGCACATCTTCCTTCCCCTGTCCTTACCACTTTCTACTGAGGTACAATCGAGAGCATCCTGTCATATTGCAACACAGTCTGGTTTGGAAGTATCACTGCTGCAGACAGGAAGGCAGTCCAGAGAGTGGTGAGAATGGCAGAAAAGATTATTGGCAGTTGCCTCCCTTCCATCCAGGACATAGCATATAAGTGTTGCTTGATCAGGGTCCACAGGAATATCTGGGACACTACACAACCTCTTCACAACCTGTTTTCCTTGTTACCTTCTGGTAGAAGGCTTCATGGTATCCAAAGCAGAACATCCAGATTCAGTCACAGTTTTGTTCCATACAGTATTAACCTTGTGAACTCTCAAGCTTCCTTTTTCCACTATGTATTCAAGATGGACAGTGATTAATATTTATATGTAAGGGTATAGGTATATACATATGTTGTATATAGCATGTTTATATGTGTGTTATGTATGTGTACACTTTTGAGAGCAGGCAAAAGAATTTTATTTATAATGTGTGCCAGTGTGCCCACAGTAAAAATATAACAATAAAGTTATCTTATCTTATCTTTTCAAGGCTACACTAATGCACATGGTCTGTGGCTTTGAGGAATCAATACCTGCTGGGCCGGGCCAGCTAAACTGACCAGCTGAACTAATCTGCTGGAATCACAGAGGAAAAGGGGAGGGTGTATGAAAGTATATACAGTATTATAATTTGCAGCAAGTGTATTTAAAGGATTGGGTTTAGTTGGATGAGGAACATGTGTTGCCTTGCAAAATTTAATTGTGTCAGCAGTGTATAAGTGTTAATTGTCTACCTCTAAGCAGGGGTGTCAAACTCGCAATGTCACATGATGTGTCACGATGTATCGCAACTTTTTTTCCATTGCTGGCAATGGGGTGGGCGCAGTTACAGCATGACACATCTGGCCCACGGGCCGGCAGTTTGGCACCCCTGGTCTTGAGCCTCAGGCCATTCCTGAATATCAACCTAATGACTGGCTGATGTTTTCACTGAAGAACAATTCACAATTTTTATTAACACGAAGCTGTTTTTTCATAGGTGGTGATCCACTTAACTGATGGTATTGATGGTGCTATGGGACCGCTGGCAGCTGCATCAGCTAATCTAAAGAAAGAAGGTGTGTTTTGTATTTTCATGCTGACATAAAAATTCCTTTTAGTTAGGATTTCTGAGACTACATACATACATATATTCACACTGATCAATTCTTTCAGATAAATGAATGTAGAATGACCCTAATGCATGCCCAGTGTTTATAACCATTAACACAATGTTATTGTTTAGCTTTTTATCTTTTCACTGAAATATTAAGGCCAGAGCTTTCCTTGACTAAAGGAAGTAGATTTCTTTTCTTCTGCAGTTGTTTTATCACCAAGATGTCCATCAGATATTTCTCCAATTTCATAGTTAAGACATTCTTGATAGTTTAAAACACTATTTATGAATGTTCCATTTTTTTCTCATTTGAAGCAGCCCTAAACCATTGCAAAATATCTCCTTCCTACATAAAGAATGGGGGGATTTTATTGGTTTATTTGTTTTTTGGCAAGCAAATGCTCTTGTTGCTGAACTAGGTTTTCAATCCAAGATGTTCTAAGAAATAGGCTCAGACAGTGAAAGAAAAGCACAGTATAATGAAATGTTTCTATAATAAAGAGTGGTATCCCTGATATTGTCGAATATTCAATTTATAAAAACCTCCAAGATCATTGCTATGGTTGAGTAAGACGAGAAACTCTCCCTGAAGATAGAAGCAAGAAAAATGTACTCCTAAACTGCTTTACATTTTAGGAATATTTGAGATTGCACTAGTAATTTGCACTAGTAATTTGGTCAAAACAGGACAAACCTTGGAAGTAAAACATCTGAATCAAAATGTAATATTGGCTGCCATCCTCTACAGTACATATTAATGGCACCATATGTGCATTTTAATGTGAGTTTGCCTAACCTGTAGTACTCTCGAACAAATATTCTGTACACATTTTTACAGTGGGCCCATAATGGAATGAATATAGCAATAATGAAACTCAGCTAGGGCATTCCTTCTTTTGGAGTATCGCAGTGCAGGTGGCTGGAGAGAAGTTTGCACATTTTAAAATTCACAAGTTAGATGGAATTCTTATTTTAACTCTTAAGAAGCTTTGGATGGAAGAGTAGGGACCCTTCCACTAAGCTTCATGGAATAAGCATATGGTCATATAAATAATCTCAGGAAGTGTTGAGTAAAATGCTTTATTTTCCAAAGACCCTAACATTGTTGTGAGTGCACATTTTTTAAAAAATAAATTGCTTTTGAAAATCTATTTATTCTTACAGGCTAATCTAAATTTTATGTGTTTCTTCAGTAAAAACAATGGATAAATAAGAATGTATTAGGAAAAGATGTGCATACAGACACACACATATACAATCTAACAACAGATAAAATACTTGCCAAAATACATATATAGGTAGTCCTTCACTTACAACCACAACTGAGCCCAGAATTTCCATTGCTCCATTTTCCCCATTTTACAAACTTTCTTGCCATAGTTGTTAAGTGAATCACTGCAGTTGTTAAATTGGTAATATGATTGTTAAGTGAATCTGGCTTTCCCATTGATTTTGTTTGTCAGAAGTTTGCAAAAGTTGATCACATGAACCTGGGGCAATGCTGCAATGACTGTAAGTGTGAAAAACGGCCATAAGTCACTTTTTTCAGTGTTGTAGTAACTTTGAACAGTCACTAAACAAATGGTTGTAAGTCAAGGACTACCTGAAATAGACTTAGTTACTTTTTTATAAAGCATAAATTAATAGAATAATATGGATTGTTTTAAAAGGGTGGCCTGTTGGAGATTACAGAATAAAACAGAATTAAAATTGAGAAAATGAGGGGGAAAAGAGAAATCAAATAGAACCAGTTTATCTAATCCTTTGTCAGATAGATAAAAGGATAGAATCCTATAGGACAAACATTATCCTTTAGGGATTATGAACAATCATTCAGGATGGATTCCCCCCCCCCCCTTCATGTTCTCTAGGTGTCAAGGCTCTTATTCTTGTTGGATTGGAGCGAGTATCTAATTTTGAAGAAGCAATGAAACTGGAATTTGGGCGTGGCTTTACTTATAATAGGCCTCTCCAAGTGAATCAGCTGGATTTAGATTTTGAAGTGGCAGAGCAATTGGTAAATAACTAAAGTCTTTATTCTTAATGACATTAAAAATAATTTTAATGGATATATATTTGCAAGTTCCTATTATGTAACAATATTGCATAACAATGTTTTTTTAAGATACCTAATTTAAATTTTGTCCATAAAAATGTAATTTCTGTGAAGTCTGAGAGATGAAAAACCAAAACCAATTACAAAGTAGTTGCCCTCAAAGAGGAAGGGGCAAGCCATGTTATTTATCCTTCTCATATAACATTTTCTATATTTGTGAATGGCATGATCAATTACCATCCAGATACTGTTTAAACAGCCTTTGCCGGCCTGTCACATCTTTCTTTCTGGGCATTGCAAAGACTATTTGTTGCTGCTGTCCTTGAATGAATCATGATGGAAAGTTCATCCCCTGTCCAGAATTATTGAATTGGGAACCTGCTGTGCCAAATCAATATCCCAGATGGATCAAGCAATAAAACTAAAGTCTCCTAAATTCCTGAATTTGGCCCATATTAGAATTGAGACATTTTGTATATTCCTACAAATCAGTACATCACTGTTGTTATCTCTATAATACAGTTGAAGAAAAGGGATATTAAAGTTAAAAGAGAAGCTTGCTAAAGGCTGCCTGGTGAGACTGTGGTAGAGGTAAAATACAAATCAGCAGTTTTCTGATTTGTATGTCAATTTCCCCTCTTTCATGCTGCAATAGCGCTCTGTGATATATTTTGATATCAGTCATTTGCAGTAAACCAGAGAAGAATCACAGCCTGATGAGCCAATTCTACTGTATTATAAAGATACATTGACAGAATCTTCCAAATATGAAAGTACAATCCTCCCCCCCCCCCCGGTCTCCTTTGTAGCCAGAAAAAGTAGGAAGCGTCTCTTCTCAGTCTCCTGGCCTGCCTACAAGGGTTTTGTGGAAGAATCCTTAATTGACTCATATATTTATCTTTCACCATCCTTCAGCCTGTTTCAGCATTGTTGTCTTTCAGAAATGTATTTATTTTTCAACAACTGATCAATTATTATATTAATAATGTTTCTCCTTGTTTTCGGTGCTTTTTTCGTTCTCCAAGATATTATTATTTCAGTTAAAACTCAATATTGGACAAATGTAACTGTGAACAATATCAAGTGCACGTATGTGCATTTTAATGATCCATATTTTACTTAATTAGTAGTCTGTTTTATTAGGACAACATTGCAGAAAGATCATGTTGTGCAGTCCCATGCAAATGTTCTGGACAACGGGGAGACAGAGGATTTCCAGGGATAGTTGGACCAAAGGTGAGATGTTTAACATGGATTTTGCAGTTTATAATAAGGCATCTATGGGATTGGGGTGGATCTGTTCCAAGGAGAAATACAAAAGATGCCCAAAGTTTTGAACTCACTTGCAGCAATTCTCTGGATCCCAGCATTTCTTGCATAGTGATCTCTATTTTGTGCTCATGATGTCTTATCTAGCAAGCATGTTTTCATCTATGATGTCTGTTTTATGTACTGTATTTAAATTTCCAGTGTTAAAATTGATATGAATTTTATTTCAGCACATTGTTTATCAAAAGCTTTTGACTCAGAATTTAAAGCTGCTAGAGTTAGTTTTGATACTCAGTGTCACATTTCACCTGTGCTTGACAGAAATTGATGATTTAAAAAATAGAATGCAACTCTATGGAAGGCTTTGCTGCATAGGTGAAACTCTATATATTGATCTGTGCATTAGAGATAGAGATATAATTTTAAATCAATGAGATATCATAAATGCTCCCAGTATATATAAAATTGGAAAATCCTATCAGTGACTGGAAAGGGCTAGATTTAAAAGACAGTACTGAGGCACTGATCATAGCAGCATAAGAAAAGACACTAAGCATCAGATCTTTAGAAGCAGGGGTCTACCACACTAGACAGGATCCAAGGTGCATCCATATGCAGAGACCCCAGAGACAGTCCAATATCATATTAGCAGGATATAAGATGCAGGCAGGAACAGCATACATTAAATGGTGCAACCAAGTTGCTGCATTGTGTACAGGAACATCTGCACAGTGTATGGGCTTAGATTCTCTAACCCTGATGGGAGATCTCACAGAAGGTCATGGAAGGTTATAGGCTAAGATCCTGTGGGACTTCCAGATCCAGATGGACAGACAGGTACTATCCAATCAATCAGCCATTGTGGTAGTAGACAAGGAGCAGTAGACAAAGAGCAGTAGACAAGGAGCAGTAGACAAGGAGCAGTGGCAGGGATAGATATAGTGGTGCCAAGTGACAGTGTCAGAATCCAGTTATATTTCATTTCTATCTATCTCCTCTGAGCTAAAATCAAATCTCACCTTTCCCTGGATTCTGCCATACTTCCAAGGGGGAGGGCGGATATGCATGCGAGTTTATTGCTTTCACTTCCTCTATTCGCTACAATGTAACCTTTTGGTTACTGACTCCATGTCTGCTATCCATTACAATGTAACAAATTGCCTCCTGCACTATGCATCTCTCTGAACCTTCTTCTCCTTAACCGGGCAGCTAGGAAAAAGCGGGGGAAAGAAGTACAAACCTCTGGGACCTGGCTTATCTCTCCATTCTCAAAAGGAGGTGTGAAGAGCTATGGAACATTGCACTACAAACGAAGCCAGATTGATGTTATCTCCCCTTTCCCATGATGGACCTAACACCTGGGGATACACTTTAAAGTAATTGATCTGTAAAGAAATCCCTCAGATCCTGTCTATTATGCCTACTATCAACTACTTTTAATAAAAGTTCCTGTTGGAAGAAATTGTTTCCAAGAGTTCTGCTTTCTTAAGATGTGGGATTGAAGTGGGTCCTTAGAGCAACGTTAGGAAGGAGTATGAGAAGCTGAAGAAGTTTCAGGGCCTGAAGGAGAGGATGTGGAAAGTAAAGGCCAAAGTGGCCTCAGTGGTGGTAGGAGCACTTGGGGCTGTGACTCCTAAGCTGGGAGAATGGCTCCAACAGATCCAAAAACAACCACAGAGCTCTCTGTCCTGAAGAATGCAGTCTATATCTAAAACGTATATGTATGTGTGTGTCTGTGTATAATCTCAAGCTTTTTTGAGATCATATTCAGATATTTATTGCAATGAGTTACTATATTTTCTTTGTAAAAGGGCAGATTATGAATTGAGCTTAAAGATAAAATATAGGATATTCAGAATACCATCTGAAGTTTATGTATAAATATGTGTCTCTGTGTTTTAAAGGGAATTCCAGGGGAAAATGGCTATAGAGGCTATCCAGGAGATGAAGGTGGACTGGTGAGTAAATGTTTCTCAATAGCTGAACTTCTACTTGCAGTAGCAAGGAAACAGGATGATAAAGTCATCAATACTTTTGCTCTAAAGAGCAATGGAGGAGAAGGAGGAAGAGGAGGAAGAGGGGGAGGAGGAACATTGTACCACAACATTAATGCTGCAACAGTCTTTTGTTCACGATGAGCAGAATATTAGCAACATTTTGCTTTTTTCTTCCATGCTACATATAGATTAAAGCACAGACTGTCTTTTCCTACCTGCTATGCATAGTAACCGAAGATCTAAATCTTATCTATAGTTTTCACATGCCGCTTATGTTCCACATGAATCTGGAATCATGTAATGCCAATATACATATAGAGATACATACACAAAGAAAGACATGCAGACACACAAACATCAAGATTAAATGTGCCATTAAGAGACATGTTTCTTTTTTTTTTTTTTTT